ATAATAATAATATTATTATTATTATTATTATTATTATTCCTGTCTCTTATACACATCTTGCTATGCAGAGCGGTATAATAATAATAATAATAATAATAATAATAATAATAATAATAATAGTATAATACTTGTAACAGGGAACTTGAAATTTCATGTTTGTTTTGACATTTTTGCTGAAAGGCGGGTTGTACCATATGATGTTCCTTTTTCTTCTGGCTTTTGAGTTGTTTGTAGGTGGTTTTTCATATTTCATCTTGTGTTGAAATCCGCTGTCCCTTAGTGCTTTTTGGTAGTCGGGGGCGGCCTTTTGAAAAGTTGCTTCTGAATCGGAGTTGCTTGATATTATTATTATTATTATTATTATTATTATTATTCTTATTATTGCTTTAAGATGGATGATGGGTGGTTTGATCGTTTATCCACGTATAGTAATTTGTTGTCTGGTTTGGTGAACGGAGCATAGGATCCGTTAGTCAGGTTGAATGTGACATCAAGGAAGTTTGTGATCTTTGTGTTTGCTTGTATAGTAATGCGGAGGTCAAAGGAGTGAAAGATGGATGTGATTTCTTTCTTCATCTTGTCACATAGTCTTGGAGATGTGCTGCTCATGATGGCGAGGCCATCGTCTCGGTAGAGCCCAGTGATTGTTTTTCCCAAGCTTTTTGGCAAGGTGGGAAAGGATGTAAGTTCCAACGAGTTCACATATCTCTGCTCCGTCAAAACTCCCCATGGTGACGTCAAGCATACCGTCTGAATTTTTCTTGGCCCATGTTGAGTTGTTGGAGAACAATATTGATTTTCGTGACTGCATGATGATATCTACTTCTTCCTCTGTTATAGTTGTGTATTTTTGGGCATGTTGAATTGTATTTAGTAGTAGCTTTTTCGATATTGATGGGTAGAATTCGACGATGTCGAATGTGATAAATGTGCTGTTTGATTTCTTTTTGATGTGTCTGAACCACTCGATGACTGCTGAGGTGTTCTTCCACTGTTGTAATTGTGATTTTTCAAGCATGGTGCTGTTTATGCAGTCGAGGATGGTTTTGCTAATTAGCCCAATCTCTGGTTTGGATGGGTTAATCAACCTGCAGCTTGGTTTGCTTTGAAAGTTGTCACAAATTGCAGGTTGATCTTTTCTGTCATCTTATGACCAATAACAATGCCGTACGCAAATATCAAACATAGTGAACTTTGCACACATTTGTGCCGATGTACAGTGAAATTATGCTAAAATCAGGCCTATTTTTAAACAGTTATAGCTCCTTAGGATGAAAGGTGACCCCCAATTTTTATTACATATTCTGAAAGCACATGAGTTTTAAATATGATGTGTTATAGCTCATAATGGCTGATCGGATATTGTGACGTCTATGGAGTGCGATATTGCTCAGTATTCGGTTCTTGAACTGCAGTTCAATGAGAAATTTACTGCGAGTTCTCTGGCCTCTGATTGGTCAAAATATGCATGGAGGACGCTAAACTCGCAGCGGTAACTTAAATTCACTGCAGTAAATTTTTTTCTGCTCTGTGATTGGTTGGAATTCGTTGCCAAGAAACTTGCTGCAGAAAGTTTAATATACCACCCAAATGCTTTACTACGATGTGTTTGATTTGTCGATGAATTAGATACTATACCACCATGCATGAAGAGTATTTTAACATATAAATGTATCACCCTTACACCCCAAGATTCAAGATCGCATTTATTGTCATATACGAGCATTAACTGTTCGCCCATCAGCAAGAATACAATGGTCAGGCCTATATTATTGTTATACAATACTGGTGTGATTGTTAGAATATTTTCATCCAAGTAGAAAGCATACATACCTACATATATGTATACATATTTATATATATATATGTATATATATAGTATTATAATAGTATATATAATATATATGTAATAGTATAGTATATATAGTATAGTATATACATATATGTATACATATATATATATATACACACATATATATACATATATATAATAATAAAATTCATCATATATATATATATATATATTTATATCATATATATAATATATATATAATCTACTTCTATATAGAACTTGTAACAGCCAACTTGTACATTAAGTAAAGCTGATGAAGGCCAGAGGACTATCCGAAAATTTCTTTCTAAAATAAATGAAGTGTTCTACAGTCTACATGCCTTGTTGTCATAATTTTTTGTTTCAACGACTTATATATTCAGGTTTATTTATTATTCACCAATAAAATACATTAAAAACAGAGGGCAGCATAAGCTGAAATCTCTGTGAACAATTAAGAAAACAGTAAAAAGGCAAGATACACAAAAACAGTACAATCTTATACACATCTAGATGTGTATAAGAGACAGTCTTCATAGAGGGGAGTTCGTCCGAAC